GGGGAATTCTGGGAGTTGAAGTCCACGCATCTGAAAGCTGCCAAGGTTGAGAAACACTGCTGTAAGGTTTGTAGGTGTGCTTCTTTGTGAAAATAGATGTTCTTTGCCGGGGGGTGGGATTGGGCTTCAAAAGATTTTCAAAGCAAATTCGTCTTCTCTTGTGAACTCTCTTTCGCTCTATCGGAAATAACATATAAAGACCCAAACTCAAATATGACAGTGTAAAAACTACGTGTGGTAAGGAAGTGGGATTTCTCTACCTAGACTTTGGCTATAGGAAAGAAGACTGATTAGAGGGTTTGGTCATGTTTTGTCTTGCTATTTTTATAGTAGGCTCTTTGGGTGGGGATGGGTCTGCTTCTAGCTCTGCAAATTTTCCAGTGTATCTCTCAGGTATTAGAGGAAGAACAGCCTGACGATGTGTGAAAGAAACGCAGTCAGCTTTTTCCAACATTATGCTGTGGTAGCAGATATAGAAGGTTATTTGTGGAGATTTTGTTAGATCCCGTTTTTCCTGTATTTGCCTCTCGGGAAATACCAGATACAAGAGCGTAGGCACCTAGAGTTCTTGAAAAATAAAGGGATTTTGTTATAGCTGTTGTCAGGCCGCCCAACACATGTCACTGCTTGAGGCAAAGAAGGCTGTTTTTACTACCACGCATTGTGCGAAAGCTGGCCACACTAGCAGGTCAGCCTCACTTCCACAGTGGCGAAGGACAGAGGGCACCCAAGGGCAGGAGGCTGGTTATAAATCAGAAACCAGTCGCATTTAAAACAGAAGCTGACAACCTCCAACCTCTTTTTTTCTTCTTTTTGCAGCAAATAAAGATCAGGGGGGAGGGGGGGTAGGAGAGAGAAACATTGGCATGCTAGGCTTTGTTTAGTTTTAACACCACCAAGCACTTAAAATTAAAATTTCCACCAAAAGGGAAAACCTGGAAATGCAGACCCCACTCACAGCCCAAAACAGGACCAGTTTGGGCTTCTTCTCCCAGCCAGTGTGCACAGCTCTGTATCCTGTCACGCATCTGCCATGGCATTACGGCCCGTATCCAGTTGCCTGAGGCAGCACCCTCAGTCTAGATGTTGTTTTCCATGAGGGTGTGGCAGGTCTCCAGAGTGACTTCACCATTCCCTTGATTTGGCCTTCATGCACAGAAGAAATGAACCCCCCCCCCTTCCATTCAGGTTTATACGGCCCAGGCTTTGGTAGCAGAGAATTATACAAGCACAGCTCATTTGTGATTTGGTTGTGTCCCCAGTGAGAGCCACTTTGGTCCCGTGTTTATGGCACTGGACTAGGAGTAGAGAACCAGGAGTCTTATTCCTGCCTTAGGTATGAAAGCCAACTGGGTGACGTCAGCCGATCACTCCTCTCAGCCCTAGGAAAAAGGCAATAACAACCTACTTTTGAAAATGCTGCCTAGAAAATTGCATAGACTTTTTCATGTAGTTGCCAGGAATCATAACTGATCCAAGGGCACCTGTATATGTATGTGTGTACATGTACATGTATGTTTATGTGTATCTATATCTATATCCTGTATGCACCTCTCTCTCTCTCTCTCTCTCTCTCTCTCTCTCTCTGTCACTATCTATGAATGACTAGTAATTGTGTACTTGGTGGCAACCATGGGTTTCATGCCTTGTCGTGTGTAAAATCATCTCACTTTATATTTAATGGATATTTTTTAAATAGGGGAGGTTAACTATGTTACTACATTGCATTTCTTTTGCATTGCTGTACAGATATTGCTGATAATCCCTTGAGGAATGCAGGGCAGTAGCTATTCTGCAGTCCTGTGTAAATCTTCAGAAAGCAATATTTAGCAATTTTGTTTTTAACCCCTAGGTATTTTTCCCAGATCTGTCTTGTAAAATTGAAACAGATACCAGGTATATAAGGAGCAGTGGAAGAAATTGCTGCCTGATCTGAGAATGTTATATAAATTCAAAAACTGGATATTTTAGTACTGGATCAGAAATTAATATTTGGGGCATATTTTTCTATTTGGTTCTTGGCAATTGAAGTTGTTGACCTATTACTGGTTTTGAGCTCTTGCCCGTATGTAATAAAAATTATTCTTAGAGGTATATCCTATATGGCTTCTTTTATGCCTAGAGGGATGTCACTGAGCAAAACAGGATTGTGCTTTCTTTCTTCTACCAAACATCCCCCTGCTTAAAAGTAATTGTATTAAATCGCTTCTTGTCTGAGAAAAAAAAGGTATACAATTTTTGACATGGGTCAGGTATGTGTGTTGAAATTCAAGAGTCAGCTCTGACTTCAGAAATTAATTCCACTTCCCAAAGAAGAAATCTGCTTAGAGAATAGAATTAGATATATTTTTGGATTTGTCATTTTGTCTTTTGAGCTGTAGGTTAGCAGATGCAAATCAGAAATTTGGAACTTTGGGTGTGAATAGTCACTTCCCCAATCCCCATCTGCTCAGCCTTACTTTAAAATCAAGTACTGTAAAGTTTGCCAAGTTTGTCTCACTGGATTCTGTCTGCTTATTCAGAGCCACAGACTGCTAATGGTCTGCATATTTCCTGTTTATGTTCTTTTAAATATGCAAAAGTATTACGAACCAAGAGCAGGCACAGTTAATAAAGAATAGATGTGGAGAACAAACGCCGTTTGGCATGTTGGCTGTGTACAAGCAAGATTTTTTTAATGTCCTTTGAAAACCATATGCCAAATGGTTGAAGTCGTAATTGGGACAGCCAATAGCAAAATTACCAGTAAATTTCAAAGACAGCCAAAACCGATGAAGAACTCTTTATGTCAGCTGCTTTGTTGTTACCAGGGGCCAGTGAAAATGCTTTTGAGGTCTATGGGTCAATTTTTGTCTGTTGTATTTCAGGTAACAATATCTGTGCTACACGAGGAGTGAACTCATGTCAACAGTGTCTGTCTGTAAATCCACGTTGTGCTTGGTGCTCCCAGGAGGTGAGTCAAAACCAAATCTATACTATATCATAATAAGCACTTGTCATGGAAGACTTAGAGGACACTTCAAATAGAAGTTTATTTTTTCTTGTACATAGAACAGAACAGATACAAGGGACTTTGAATTCTATCCTAGATGTTCTGATGCTACCAGTAACCAGGCAGGGTGTAGCTCTACTGCAGAATTCCCCAGCCATCATGCTGTGAGTTGAAGTCCACTCATCTTAAAGTTCCCATGTATGAAAAACACCGCTCTATGGCCTTTGCCTCAGATTCTTTTATGGAGGAAAAAGAAAGACCTCTGATAAAAATAAGAGTTTCAGACAGGTTGCTGCACAATAAAAAATCTTGTCTGGAAGCATGCTCAGATCCAACTATCTCTAGTGAAACCTGTTGACCAACTGTGTAGTAAACTGTCTATTTAAGAAATAGAGCAGTAGATAAAACCCACGGGAAGGAGAAGCCAGGTACAAACATTGGGCAGATTAAAATATTCAAATGGAGTTGGAGGGCTATCATGCAAAGCCTTGGGCAGCATTTCTAAGGACATGAAGCTGACATCTCAGAAAGCTTATTTTCCAGATGCTTAGAGACTGTGGAAAAAATGTACTTCTTTAATATTGGTTCTGTATCATCTATAATCAGGAGGCTCTTGCTCACAGTTATTCATGCTTTGGTCACCTCCCAAATGGACTACTGTAATGCGCTCTACATGGGGTGCCCCTTGTCAGCCTTACCAGGTGGACCAAACAGGAAACATGACCAGATGAGCTAATTCCTACTTTATTGTAAAGCTACATTAACAGAATCCTGAAAGTATAATTCTCCCCTTGTCTCCTTTACACCCTGAGAAATTAGGGAGTGTCTCTTCTGAGCCTCTTGCCCTGTCCACTATCCAGCTGTGGACTATGCTGTCTCTTATCTGACTGTTCCCTAGGCAGTGTCTCTGGGCCCAGTCTCCCAAGGTCATTCCCACATACCATTACAGCCCTTGAAGAGTATTCAGAAGCTTCAGCTAGTACAAAATGCAGCAGTGTGGGCAGTTATGGGTGCTCCTAGAGTGGCACATATTACAGTTCTCCTTGGCAAGCTGCATTGATTGCCAGTTTGCTTCTGGGTGCAATTCAAGGTGCTGGTTTTGACCTTTAAAGCCCTACATGGCATGGGGCCACAGTATTTGAGGGACTGCCTCTTCCAATTACATTTACCCATCCCATCAGGTCAGGCAGGAGGAGCATGTTGTGGGTCCTGTCTGCTAAGGAATTCCATGTGATGGGACCCAGGAGATGAGCTTTTTCTGCCATAGCAGCTGCACTTTGGAACATCATCCCCCCAAGGTGAGATTAGCCCCAACCCTGTTGGCCTTCTGGAGATGGCTTAAGATGTGGTTTTCCCAGGAGGCCTAGGGAGATTGCAAGATGGCTCTATTATGTTTGAATTTTTAAACACTCTCCCGTGTTGTATGCATGTTTCTTGTTTTTTATGGTTATTTTAAGATACGTTTTTACATTTTACTGTACACTGCCCAGAGTCACATTCGTGAGATGGGCAGCTATATAAATTTGAGAAATAAATAAATAAATAAATAAATTCACATGCCATCTTCCTTTCCATTTTAGCTCAGTTGGTATATATAGCGACATTAACACCTAACGTCAGCTGGTGCTTCTTTACTGTTAACGGATCTGGAATGTGCCATTTTACTAGCCTCTTTCTCTTGCTATTTTTTCACTGACAGCTAAAATGGCTAAAATATTATTTCAGCCATATTTAACCTATATTAATGTATTCGTGCAGTTGTGCATAGAAATTCTTGGTCTTTGTCCATTTACCAACCTTCTTCCTCTTCTGATTCAAGTATTTCCAGTCTAAAAACAAATCCAAAACACTTTCAGTTCGCCCCAAAGCAGCCAGATTTTATCTTCCTTTTCCTTACAATGTGGCCATGTAACCAGCTGCAGCGTTGACAGAATGTCACAGAATGTCTACACTGGAAAAAAAAAATACAACAAATCAGTTGCAATTGTCTTGTAGTTTGCAATAGAAGAATTATGGTTGGGTAATTCTAAAAAATACATGGTAGAGGAGAGGTAAATGCTAGATGTGAAGAAAAAAATCTGAAGAATGTGCTTCTTTTAAATCATGAAAACCCAATTAAAAGTGGAATCCTCTTAAAGTATTTGAAGAATGTTTTTCCATGGCGGTTAACTCCCAAGAAGCAAGGCCTTTTGGCTCTAGCCTGCCAGGAACAGGAGAAGATTTTGCAGGAGAAGCAAAGAGGCCCCCTACCCATTTCTCTACAGCCTTTTGATTATCTTCCCAGGATCTTTTCAGTTTAAAGAAGCCATGTCTTCTCATTTAAAGTTTCTTTATTGCTAGAATAATTGTAAAGTGCTTCACCAAGTAGCTCTATTTATGTTTTCCACCCAAGATTAAACACCGTGGAATAAAATCTCAGTGATATTTTACAGAGTTTGAAGAGCACCTGGCAGACATATCCCATTAGTGAGATATTAAAAAGAGTGATACACAGTGACCCCTAAAATGCATTCATTCCTTATGAAGGGCCAGAAAAACATAGGACATTTCAGAAGCCACTGGAAATAATAAAGCAGCAAATAACAGCTGTAGCCAGGAAAACCAGCAG